TGAAACATCCCAACTTTCTTTTTTCCGCATCAACATTGGCAAATTTGTAGCCCTTTTCAAATGTTTATAGAAGCCATTTCATGTCAGCTGCGGTCATATATTAATTAAACTCGTGCAATTTTTATAGAGGTCTGAAATGAGGTATTGATGTTTCGCTCAGGTCTGAGACTGAGTATGGAAAATCACAGATTTTAGTCTGAAATAGAGTACAGGTTTCAAGTTTCCGGCCGCACAGCCCCGTCAAAAAAATTGGGAAGTGCCCCTTGGGATAGCCGACAGCTATCTCCCATTGTTTGTCCGTGGATTAACCTTCAGTGAATTACCTAATTGTGATCGTCACTGTCTTATTTTATAAATCGCTAAGCTGTGGCTACCTGGCGTTTGTGTCCATCGTGTAGGTCGTGGTCGATTCGGAAAATTCGCGTTTGCTTGAGTTAACGTATAGGCCGAAAACACAGCAATACCGAGAGCTTGGTCAAACATGGTCCCATAGTAAGTCTGCTGATTCACCATTTGGCAGATGTACCTTATATTCTGTAAGTTTTGGCCAGTTCGGAGACCTGTTGGTTGTTGTCCACCTGCAAAGAATTGAGTGTAGCATGGCTGGTTAGGATTATTAAAAACCATCTGGGGGCCAACTGCTCGAACCTCCGCGTCATCTTGGTTGTAGTCTTTGTAAGAGCTAGTCTTACTGCTGCGCTCATGGTCTTCCTCGCCTAGTTGAGAAATAAGATATGAAAAGTTATAACATAACTGACGTACTGAACAGAACAACCTAACTTTACCAAATGATGGAAAACTGACCAATCACAGTCCCGTCTTGGTTGCGGTGTTTATGAGTGCTTGTCTTATCGCTGTGATCATGGTCCTCCTCGCCTAATTGAAAAATAAGATATCAAACGTTATAACGTAACCGACAAACTGAACAGAACGACCTGGCTTCAGGTGGCCGAACACAGTTTTCGCGCGCGCTTTCGTTGATGCAATTGAGANCTTAACCGATGTTCGACCGCGAACTCGAACTACGAACCCAGTCCATCGCATTGAACGTATCTTTAAAAAGCTAAGCTTTTGTTTGAAAGACTTCCAAATTAGTACAGTGAAACCTGTATTAAGCGGAACTTAAGCTGGTGCCCGCTTAATATGGGGTCCGCTTAATACAGGTTTCACTGTAAAACAAATAAAGTTTAGATCAATTTCAATTTGTTTCGCCGGTTAAGTTTAAATTCATCAACCCCGTAACATAAATTATAACCTTAACTTTAAACGGACCCAGGTAGTTTTACCACCGGTGAAATTCCAAGACATTACAAAGAAACGGTTCTTAATACGTTCTCATAGCAAAGTTATATCAGTGCTTTTATTCATGTTCTCGCAAGAATAAGTATGTAAGTTACATGTAACTGTGTAGTGTTTGCCAAAGTGTTCTTTGAACCAGACTTGTTTCTTTAAGAACTGAACGATTTTTTCAGGTCGTGTTTTTCAGTAATAAATTTCAGACCTCGGTGATATCAAAACTGAAAACGATCTTCAGCTCTAAAAATTTAGGTAGTTCATCTTTTGTTGGTTTTTTCCGAATGGTAAACACAGGCCGAGTTTTGAAGTAAGATAGTCAATAAATGGTGTTTTTATGATCAACGCATGTTTCTGGCGGTAGGAAAAGACAAATATATCATTTCCTTGTTTTCTTACCACTCTTGTATTCCTTATGCAATCGGCTTTCCGCCACAATACTTGACGTCACCAGTGCAATAAAAAGCAGAGATAATAAAATCTTCACAACAAAACCCTTCATAGCAAATCGGACTCGAAAATCACTTATGAAAGAATTATTTGTGGTTTTCCATCAAATGGAGTATCCAGTTCCATTACAGAGCACTTCATGCTTCAGATATGCAAAATATTTTCTTCAATGCATGTGAAATCCACCAGCCAAAACCATGAACGTTTGACAATATTCAATAAGAAAGGTCAGTTTCCTTCGTCTTTTAAATACCATAACCATTAAAGAAGGTGGGAAAATGTCGTCTAAATTATGGCATTTTACTGAAGTGAAAAGAGAGGCAGGTCACATTTCATTGACATGTTTTAACCTTTTGAAAGAACCTAAAAAAACAAGCTTTTAAGCCTTTCCCTGAACGCTCAATAGTATTCAGTGGTTTTATACCGGTCTTTTAACGTGAAATTAACATTAGAGAAAGGTAGAAATTATATATTTAGACTTCAACGATATTTTACTGAACTTTACAATAAAGTTTCCATATAACGCGTTTTGATTTGAGTGCTTTATCAGAGAACAGAGCACAGGTTGATGACGGTAATGCTGGCTTTCAAATTTTTGCTTCGGAATTTTGACAAATTTGACCCAAATTAAACAACCCCTTTGAGAACAGAGCACGCTGACGCCACTTTTAGTCGCTTGAAAATAAAGTTAGGTGTGAACACTCAGCCGAATTCAGCTGGATTCTTTATCATAAAACAAATAAAGAAGCCTCGACTGTCTGGCTCTGTTCTGATGTGAAGCACGCAGGAAGCGGTAGAGCACTCAAGAAAAACACTCGACTACGTCTCGTGTTTTCCCCTACACTTCTTTCGTGCTCTACCGCTTCCTGCTTGCTCTACAACAGAACAGAGCACAGTCGAGGCTTCTTTATTCGTTAATTAAAATGAAAGCAGGTTAAACTACTTTGAAACCTTTTAACCTTTTAACCCACTTAATTTAAGCTATTCCATGAGCGCCCAATAGTATTTCAGTAGTGTAGTTTTCTTCGTCTATTAACGTGTCACAAATATGAAAGAAGGGTGTACATAACATTTAACCTACAATTGCATTTTAACTTTAAAAAAAAAAAAAGGTTAAAAACCATGTTGAAAGCTTGGAACCTTTTGAAACCACTCTAAAAACAGCTTTAAATTTAAGCTTTTCCATTTAAGCTTTCGGAATTATGCATGGACTAAAATGGCATTTTATCGAAAACAGACTGGTTAAACTAATTTCAGTTGATACCTTTTAAGTTTTTGAAACTATTAATAAGTAGTTTTCTCCATCTATTAGCGTGTTGTAAGCACGAAATATGATAAAGGTGGAAATTACATTTAACCTACAATGGCACTTTAACTTAAAAAGGAAAGCAGGCTAAACTACGTTGACACCTCGTCAACAATCCTCGTCAACAATGTTTGGTAAACATTCATGTGTAGTCTAAGCATAATTTCCGCCCTTTTTTCATGTTTATGACCCGCCGATAAACGAAAAAACTACCAAACACTGTCGAACGCTCATGGAAAAGCATAAATGGAAAAGCTCAAATCAAAAGGATTTTTTTTCAAAAGGCCAAAAGGTTTTAACGTCGAATTTAACCTGCTTTTCGTGGAAAGTGAAAAAGCGATTGTAGGTTAATTAAATATTCAGGGTGAATATTATTTCCACCCTTCTGTCATGTTTATGACACGTTAATAGACGAAGAAAACTACACTACCGCTTTTATAACGTGGTTTCAGAAAGTGAAAAGGTTTCAACGTACGCAGCATGAAGGATGACCGACAGATAGCCAACAGTCGGCTGACTGTTGGCCGTCTGTCGTGCAGTTGTCGGCCGGCTGTAGAGTAATTGTCGGCTGACAGTTGGGCAATTGTCGGCTGACAGTCGACCGACAGTCGGCCGACAAATGGTGATCTGTCGGTCATCTGTCGGTTCGGTTGTAGCCGTGACAAATATCGTAAACATTACGTCGTTTATCTCCAAAACTGCTTAAAACGACTGGAGAATTGATTGAATCTGAAGACAAACAATGGACTGCAAGGCTGATACTACGTTTCGAGACACCGACATGACAAGAACCGATAAAGCAGGATCGCAACAGTGGACAGCTGTTTCGCCCTTCTTGGGACTCGTCAGCACTGTGTAGCGAAGATATGTAACGCCAGCCCAACAGCCAACGCACATAAATAGCGAAATGACCCGTTCGCTATACCAAGTTGCGTACCTATCTGAGCACGTGAATCGAAGATGAAATTCCTGACTTGTCTGCAGCTGCCTACTTCCTTGTCAGAGCAGGTGTTGCTAATTTTTAAAATTGCAACATAATCATCATTTTACACCGTCAGCCATCTGTATTCCACGAAGTCTTATGTTTTGGGCTACCGTAACTAGAGAGAGGGAAGTATTTTGGGGAACGTGTTTTTAGGGAAGTGTATTTTTAGTAAGGAGCGCATGTTCTTTTTTTTTATGCATGCATACTTTGCGGAATGAAGTTTTAGGGCAACGTTCCTTTGATAACATATTTTGGGGGAACGTTTCTACGGTAATGTTTTTTTAGGAATGTGTTGTCTTAGATATCGTACTTTTGTGGAGAGTGGATTTTCGAGAACGCGTTTGACAATTTTTTTGGAAGCAACGTACATGCATGTATTTTTGGGGAACGTATTTTAGAGAGAATTTGCTTTTGGGAACGTATTTTTAAGGTAACATAATTTTAGGGAACATATTTTTAGGGGAACGTATTTTTTTGTGAACGTTTTCTTCTTCATCTTGAGACTGTGCAGTTTAGGGAACGCATTAAGCATGAATCCAATTTAGCTCAATAAAACAGACTTTTTTACTTGTCTTTTTGTAATAACTATCAAAAATGACAGATATGTCATTCATGCAAAATCAGGTGTAAACGACTAACATGATCTGATTATATTGTTGACATCTTAAACAAAGATACTCATCAAATGAAAGACAAGTTACTTTCAATCTCTCTTTTTCGTTGTCTTTATTGACTTTTTATGCCACATTACTCCCTTGTTTCTTATTAATTTGCATTTGTATTTTTAAGTATAGACATTCTCTTACTGTTGATGCTATATGTTTTTTTCTTTTATTCAGACCTAGCGTCCATTCCATGGAGGAAGAGCCGGCAGGTTGTTGTTTACTTTGGAGCAATCGGCATCTCCAGGGAACAGGTCGACATTTGGTCCGTTGATATGTTGGCCTAGGTTATCTTCATCAACCGCAAGAATCAGTTGCAGTCGTGCCACTGTGATTTGCTGTGTTAAAGTTACCTCAGGTTGATTGGGAACCTTTTGCAGGTTGTTTCCAATCACTGCGAAGCTCTCGACACCGTTTGGATGCACACAGCAGCCAGCGGTCCACATCGAGTTAGGAATATTTATAGCGGGGAAATTTCCAGCTGGACCCAGGTTGTTGATGTGTACTTGTGGGTTGTATCCCGGAGGGTTGTTCTGAATGTGACCAAATGCAGTGCCGGTTATTAGATACAAAGTTCCAGGTTGAGGTCCCTGCGTGCACTGTTGAGCATAAACCCGAATTCTCCCCTCAAATCGGGCCCAATAGCCTCTGTTGAAAGATGGGCGTTGTGGTACAGCGTTGGTGTACACGAAAGTGGAACGAAATCTGTCTACGGTGTTGGAGTAAGTTGCTCCTGGTACGAGATGACCCCTGTCATATGGCTGATGTAGATATATTTGTCTACTTCCTTGTGGAGCGACATCTTTAGTTAAAGATTGAAATAAATGTTAAAATGTTAGTGTTACATCTAAACGGTTTATCTCAGAGTGGCACGATAGTGACATATAGACACAGAGACACGCCGACCGACCGACTGACAAACTATATTGTAAATTAAGGATCACTAGTATGTTATCTTGTATTGTATTGCGTTACCTTAAATTGTGTTTTACAGTACTGCACTGCACTGCACGGCACTGTTTTATATTGTAATTTCCCCCCACCTTTTCAACTTTCCTCACTAATGAAATCCCTTTTATGTACCCCTAGGCCCGTAAAAATGTACCCCTAGTGGGCGGAGCATCATCGTATAGTCCGATGTGGGGAGTACCCCCTCCGGAAAATTATAGGGTCATTGAAAATAGCAAATGAACACGGTGTGGTAAGAAATCCCAACTTGCAGTAAGTTCATGACGTTGCTGGGGTGTGACTTTAGCCAAGAAAGCATCCAAGACAGTCACTATTTCGGATTTTTTTTCTTGTCGTCTTATTTCCTTACCTTGGCAATCTATTCTCGCCAAAAAATTGTCTAAGACCTGAATGAGCAGCCACTAAAATGGCAGTAGCTTAAGTAGAATCCTCTA